ACAAGCCATTGCTGTTCCCGGCTGCAGAGCAGAGCATGTTCTTCACATCTGGTCCTATCTTGACTGGACCAAGGGCTACGGCATGAGCAATCTGCTTGATCTGGGCAAAGGCTTGTTGCTGTTCAGGGCCCTATCGGAAAGTGTTTTTCTTGTGTGTAACTCGGTAAAGAGGGCTCACAATCTGGCTGTACTCAGGAATATCCATTCTCTAAAATTTTATGGTGCTTAGGAAAGCTTACATTTCCTTCTTACTAGTCGGTGGAGACGTTGCTGTGATCTTGTTACTGACATCAGGTAGGAGTCTGACACTGTCTATCTTACTACTTTACTCCCAGGAACTGGATTTTTCGAGCAGGTCCTTTAACTTTACTCTTCATTATGGTGAAACTGGCTTTTAGGAGAATCTGGATGATTTTCTCTCCTTTCTCAAACACCTCTGCTTCCATGTTCTCCCACAAAATGATATCATCAATATACTGTAGGTGTTCTGGAGCCTCACCCTTTTCTAATGCAGTCTGGATTAGTCCATGGCAGATGGTAGGACTGTGCTTCTCCTCCTGGGGCAGTCAGTTCTAGGTGTACTGCACTCCCCTCCAGGTGAAGGCAAACTAAAGCCTGCACTCTGCTGCCAGAGAAATGGAGAAAAATGCATTGGCAATATCAATAGTGGCATGCCACTTTGCTGTCTTGGACTCCAGCTCATACTGGAGCTCTAACATGCCCAGCACAGCAGCACTCAGTGGTGGAGTCACTTCATTCAATGCACAGTAGTCCACCATCAATCTCCATTTTCCTTCAGATTTGCGCACCGGCCAAATGGGGCTGTTGAAGGGTGAGTGGGTTTTGCTGACCACCCCTTGGCTCTCCAGCTCTCGGATCATCTTATGGATGGGAATCACAGCATCTCGAGTGGTTCTATACTGTCGGCGATGCACTGTGGAAGTGGCAATTGGTATTCGTTGCTTTTCCCCCTTCAGAAGTCTTACTGCAGATGGGTTCTCTGATAGTCCAGGCAAGGTGTTTAATTGCTTAACACCCTCTGTCTCTACAGCAGCTATCCTAAATGCCCACCTGAGTCCTTTTGGGTCTTTAAAACACCCACTTCAGAGGAAGTCTATGCCCAAAATGCATCACTCCTCTGGGCCAATCACAATAGGGTGTTTCTTCTACTGATTTCTAGTCAGGCTAACATCAGCTTCTACTAAAGTAAAATCTTGTGACCCTCTTGTCACGCCAGCAATAGAAGCAGATTCTGCCTCCACATGTCTCGATGGGATTAATGTGCACTGCACACCAGTGTTGAGCAAGGCCTCATATTTTTGTGGTTCAGATGTTCCAGGCTAATGAATCTACACATTTAAAAAAACATGCTTTTCCCTAGCCTCTACCTGGCTCGAGGCAGGACCCCTCTAAACCTGACTATCCTTCTTTCTCTGGACATATGTCTTGGAGGTTCCTTTAAGGAGATTGGACATGTCATCATCATATCTGGCAGTCTGGCTATGGGCTACTGGAGCTGCTTCTTTTTTGGTGGAACTTCCTCTCTCAGTCTGGTTGTCTTTTAATTCAAACACCCATTGTGCCAGAGCAGTAGTATATTTTCTATCCCATCTCCTCATATTTTTTCTACAATCACGCAGGAAGAACTACAGCTCAGCTCATGGGGTGTACCTTCTCTCCCTATCTGGTGGATGTCCACATTTGGTACTAGAACTTCTGATCTGTACTGCCGAGATTTGGAGAAAGCCCTCTTTAATCTCTTCTCTGAGTTTCTTGTGATTCTCTTTCATCTTATCTTCTAACTAACTAATTATAGATTCATCAGGTCATTGAGTGTAATCTTTTCTTAGGCCAAGAAGTTCCTTCAGGGAAAAGGACCTAATAGCGGCTTCTGATTTTGTGTCAGTTGCTTTGACTTTTGATTTTGTATCAGGAAGTGGCTTTGACAGTCTTTCCCCCGGATCATCATCGTCTACTGGCCAATTGGTTTTGGTTGTGTGCTTTTTTCCTGCCACGACTGCCAGTGGCTTAGGTTCACTGTCTGGTTTAGCTGCTGGCTTAGGCTCACTGTCTGGTTTAGCTACAACCTAAGTGACTGGGGTGTTGGCTGCAGCCTGAGTGACTGGGATAGCTACTGATATATCTCCCTGCCCCTCCTGCCTCCATCTGCTGCCCTACAGTATCTAGCAGCATGCGATAAGCATGTGCCAGGGCTCAGCTTATTGCAATGATCTTTTTCTCCTTAGAGTCATCATGGCAGTTCTCTTCCAGGTATTTCCCCACCTCATCTGGGTTCTGAATTTGTTCACGTGAAAATTCCCAGCCTGGAGCATCAGAAAATTCCTTTGGAGATCAGAAAATTCCTTCAGGATTCCACCCATTCTCTCCGATTCTCCACACTACTCAGGATTTTTTACTCTTGGGTCTACTCCTGGGTCAGGAGTCTCATCAGCCCCTCTGGAAATCTCAGCCCTCACTCTAGACAAGCTTCAAACTATGTAGAGGAAGTCTACTAGATTAAATACCAGGAAGGTGGTCTCTTTAACATTCAGGGGGAACTGAACATTCTCCAAAAGTGACGTAACAGATTCAAAGGAGAAGAAGGAAAGGAAAGGTTGAAAAGCCTCATCTTCTGCTCCTCCTCTAACAAACTGGGTGCAATTACTAATAAATCCCTAAAACATGCTAGTGGAACTGGGATGCAGGGTAGGATGAAGAAACCATAAACTATATATATCTGGAACAAACTATAGCACTTTTGTAAATTTCCTATAAATCATTATCACCATGCCCAGCAAAATAGCTATTCTAATCCATGCCCCTCTACTGTAAAAACTCCGTGTTAGGGACAATACTGGAGCTATCTCTGGATTAGAAAATAAGCCTAGGGACCAGAAAGGTATTAAAACCTCAAAAAAGCCTGGCGACCAGAAACACATGAAGTCTTACACCCACAGACACTATGAATTCAAGCAACATGGCTATTGACTGCTTTATCTCAATACAGAGTAAATACAACTAAAATGCAATTAGTACAGTTTTTTACAAGAAAGACATTGAGGTGCTGTTGCACATCCAAAGAAGAGTAAGGAAGCTGATGAAACATCTGGAACATAAGTCCTATGAGGAGTAGCTGAGCATAATGAGTGTTTTTGGTGTGGAGAATAGAAGGCTCAGGGGAGACCTTATTGCTCTCTACAAGTGTTTGAAAGGAGATTTTAACAGTGTCAGTCTCTTGTCCGATGTAGCAATTGACAGAACAAGCAGAAATGGCCACAAGTTGCACCAGGGGAGGTTCAGGTTGGATATTAGGAAATAATTTTTCACTGAAAGGATTATAAAGAATTTGAACAGGTTACCCAGGGAAGTGGTTGAGTCACCATCCCTTGAGGGTATTTAAAAGATGTGCAGATGTGGCACTTAGGGACATGGTTTAGTGGTAGACTTGGTAGTGTTAGGTTAATGGTTGGACGTGATAATCTTTTAGGCCTTTTCCAACTTAAACAATTCTATGATTCTATGTCTCAGCAACATCAGAATCTGCAAGATTCACTTTGATTTTGTTCTCTAGAAGCCTGTGTGAGGACTTAAAGAGTGCAATTACATGTCTTAAAACACTATTCCCATAAGATAAGCCACTACAACAGGAACTTGAGATAAGCACGGATGGCAAAAAGGAAGGCACTAATTCCAGGCTTAAACAGAGGTGAAGGTTTGGAATTAGCACACCGGACAAAACTCCACTGTGCAGACTGTGGGAAAGGAAACCACTACTTATACCCATGCCAGTCCAAGTTGTGGGAACATCTGCGACCACCCCTTGGATACCTGGAGCTTGGACTGTATACAGGTGGTACCTCCAGTAGAATGACTCTGGGATCCCCACCACCGAAGACCAGGGTGAAGAATGCTGCAGGAATCCACATGGTGGTGGTATCTTTTGCTTAATTTCTTTCTCACTCTCTCTCCCCCCCTGCTCTCTTTCTATTTCTTTCTCTCTACCTCACATTTACTGTTAAATAAAATCTGTACTATTGACTTTGGCATATGGTCTTGTTTGCACATTAATTTGAGCAGAGGCATCTCTCATTAATCAGATCATAACAGCCTGTTTGATGGTGAAACTGTTGTTTTCAGGAGGCATCTCCTAAAAAAAGCTTCTGCAGTAGCTAATCAGGTCTGCCTTAGAATTTTCAAATAATAAAGAAGTAGAGTTAATTCCTGGTTCTGAACTCTGTTCTGACTCTGTATTAACTACATCATGTCAGCCTAACAGTTCTTCAGAATTGTATTGAACCACACAGAATTTTACAGTGTCAGGAAGCCCTTGCAAACAGAACTGTATGCTCCACTTATTTAAATTTCCACTATCACACAAAATGTTTTGCAGGAGCAATTAAACAAGGCTTAAGTAAAGGCTAACTTGATGTTAGAAACAAATTTACCATTTGTAAGATTTTATGTCATAAGCCTTTGATTTGGGCAAATATTCTCAGGTTATCAATGAGTAAATTCTAAATTTACCCGGAAATATTTTAATGTCAATCTCTTTCAAAAAATTAAGGATTACATGCATTTAAAATTCAGAAAATTCATATAAAATAAATAAGGTTCTTGAAACTTGGTTATTATATCTTGTTGTACATTTATCTCTGCCTTGAACCACATGCATTTCAGTGCCCATGAATTTGTTGACTGATCATAACTGTGCATAATCAGTATTTACAACAGTACCTGTTACAGCTATCGTGTCCATGACCTGTGTTCTAAAGAATAATCATGCTTGAGTCATTGAGTTTGCAAAAGGAAACTGCCTGCATATTTAATATACCACATACCTATGAATTTTAAATGAATCAGTTAAATCTTACATTTTGGTAAGAAAGTGGAAAACATGAAATTGATATGTTTATCAACCAAAATGGAATTGCATTGATTGATTAAAAAAAAAGTTATTTTCACAAATGCATAAATGTATCTCTTTTATTTTTAAATTCCAGAATCGAATGGAAGAGAGCAAAGCACTCTTTAGGACAATTATCACATATCCATGGTTCCAGAATTCTTCGGTCATTCTGTTCTTAAATAAAAAAGATCTTTTAGAGGAGAAAATTATGTACTCCCATTTAGTTGATTATTTCCCAGAGTATGATGGTAAGTATATTGCCACCAGAGCTCATACTCCATTTAAATTGCAGTAGTGACCAAATGTAATAACTTTGCCAATATTTTGCTTGGAGGTTCTTAGGACAAAGACAATCATCCATTCTTCATTAAATCAATTTTCTTCTTTATAAATTGTACTAAGTACACCAAATGGTTAGTTTATAGTTGAATGACTTACTGGTCATGTTTTTTTAAAAATTATATGAGAAGGAAAATATTATTAAGAATAACAGTTTTTAATGCTTCAAATTTGTAAAGTCACTGAAGTCTTGTGGAATTTTCTAGATTGCTAGGAATTCATCTTATACCTCCATTAATAGTGGACAAAACGGCAGTACCTTTCATGCCAAATTATTGATTCTAGATGAGTAACATTATATTTGCAATGGACCTTATTCTGTCCTTGTTCATAAGTTGGGGTGAGGATTTGAACTGAAATATAAAGCTAAAATTATATAAAAATACATTTTTCATTCTACTCAACATCTCACATACTATTTTATAATTGGGTTTGTGTTTTGTTGCTTTTTTGTTTAAGGTTGGAAATCTGTATACAAGTCATAAATTCTCTGTGGCTCTCAGATAAACCAATATCACTTCTCCCACCCTTTTATTGTACCATTTCTTCTTTGTTTCCATTATTTTAATTTTATGTTTCTTATGTGAAATTTAATGTGCTTGTCCCTGAAAACATTATGTGGAACAAACAGCTGTTTCCAAAGAAGTTGTACTTTGAGAAAGTTCTCCTGAGGTGAAAACCTACATATTCAAAAGTAACTGAGTAGAGGCTTTGGCAACCGAGAAAAAAATCATATTCAAATAATAACATCTCTTTTGTCACACCAGAGAGTGAAAAGCAGATTCAAAAGCAACAAAAGAAATTATATCTCTCATTTTCAAAACAAGACAGTGATAAAAGGAAAAAGTTTCATGTTTATCCTCTTTGAGAGGAAAGAATGTGTTCACAATGAACAGCCTGCAGGATCAGGCCATACTTAATTATGAATCAGTGTAAGTTTAGTTTGATAGTACTAAACAGAAGATAACTGACAGTTAAATAGAATATATTCTTGTATTTTCATGTTAGAAGTGTGACAGGTGCCTTAGATGACATCCTGCAGGTGAGAAGGCTATACGGGCCCTTTTGTTATGATCACTCAAGTAGAGGTAAACCTGTGTTAAATTCTTGTCCAGAGAAACCAGACAAAAATTCATACATAAGAGTTGACATTGGAAGGGAGCTCTGAAGATCATCGAGTCCAACCTTTCTGCTCAAACAAGGTCATCCAGTGACTGCTTCACAGGTATATGTCCAGATGCCTTTTGAATATCTCCAAGGAGGGAGACTCTACAATGTTTTTGGGCAACCTGTCCCAATGCTCAGTCACTCTCACAGTAAAAAAGGAGTTTCTGATGTTAAAATGGAAACTCCTGTCTTTCTTGTTCTGTAACTGGGCACCATCCACAAGAGCATGGCTTCATCTTCTTTGCATGCTTCCTTCAGGTATTTGTACACATTAATAAGATCTCTATCTGAGCCTTCTTTTCTCTAGGTTAAACAGTCCCAGGTTTCTCAGCCTTTCATCCAGTCCTTTAATCATCTTTGTGGCCTTTGGCTAGACTCTCTCCAGTATGTCCTTGTCTTCTTATACTGAGGAGCCAAGAACTGGACACAGAACTCCAGGTGTGGTCTCATCAGTGCTGATTAGAGGGGAAGGATCACATCCCTCGACCTGATGGCAACATTCCTCCTAATGCAGCCCAGGATACCATTTGCCTTCTTTTTGTCAAGGGCACACTGATGGTTCATGTTCAACCTAGTATCCACCAGGACCCTCAGGTGCCTTTTCTGCCAATCTGCTTTCTAGTTGGGTGGCCCCCAGTATATATTAGTGCCTAGGTTTGTTACTCTTCAGGTGCAGGACTTGACACTTGCCCTTGTTCAATTTCATGAGGTTCCTGTCAGCCCATTTGTCCAGCCTGTTAAGGTCCCTCTGGATGGAGCCACTCCTCCCAGTTTTGTGTCACCAACAAATTTGCTGAGGGTACACTCTGCTTCCTTATTCAGATCATTAAAGATGTAAATAGGATTGCATCCAGTATTGGCTACTGGGGTACTCCACTAGTTACTGTCATCCAACTAGACAATATCCACTGCTCTCCCCTCATCTACTAGGCCAGTCATTTCAACATAGAGGGTTGTCAGATTTTCAATCAGTCAGCTCAGAGAAACCTTCTTCCTCTTCTCCTTTACCATGGGTAAGGGAAACAAAAAAAGGTTATGGACAATTAGGGCCATAGCAAGTAGGCCAGACCTGAAAGTCATTTAAGTGTCTAATTCTGCAGATCTTGCTGAACTTAACCCCTTAGAGAAGGTTATGGTTTAATTTGATTTCTTTTGGTGGAAAGATGGGGTGGATGACTTGTGGTTTACTCCCATCTGGCAACTTAGTATCACACAGTTGCTTACTCACTTCTCCGTGCCTGGGGAGAAGAATCAGAAAAAAGGCAGAATCCATGGTTTGAAATAAAAACAGTTTAATAATTGAAGTAAAATATAGTCATAATACTAATGACAATAATAACAGTAATAATAGTAATGAAAAGGACAGAATAAAAACAGTTGATGTACAATAAAAGCAATTAGTGCACAATATAATTGCTCACCACCCCACTGACTAATGCCCATCCCATCCCTAAGCAATGATTGGCCCCTTCTGGCTAACTTCTTACAGTTTATATACTGGGCATGATGTTTTATGGTGTGGAATATCCCTTTGGCTACTTCAGGTCAGTTGTCTCAGCTGTGGTCCCTCCCAACTTCTTGTGCACTTCCTCACTGGCGGAGCATGAGACACTAAAAAGGCCTTGACTCAGAGTAAGCACTGCTCAGCAGCAACCAAAACATCAGTGTGTTATCAGCATTATTCTCATACTGAATCTAAAACACAGCACTGTACCAGTGTAGTGATTTTACCTTGGCTAGATGCCAGGTGCCCACCAAGCCACTCTATCACTCCCCAGTGGGACAGGGCACAGAAAATAAGATGGAAAGCAACTAGTCGGTTGAGATAAAGCAGTTTACTAAAGCAAAAAAAAAAGAAAAGTGAAAGTTTGAGTGCACACAAGCAATGGGAAAAGTTAATCTTTACTTCCCATCAGTGAGCGATGTTCAGCCACTTCCCAGGAAGCAGGGCTTCAGCATGTGTAGCAGTGGCTCCAGAAGGCAAACATAGTAGAATAATGAATGCCCCCTGTTCCTCCTCTCTCCCTTAGTTTTTATATCTGAGCTGACATTATGTGGTATGAAATATCTCTTTGGTTACTTTGGGTCAGCTGGCTTGGTTGTGTCCCCTCCCATGATCTTGCCCACTCACAGCCCCTTGATGAGGGTAAGGCATGTTAGAGGGACAGTGCTGCTCAGCAGTAGCCAAAACACTGGTGTGTTGTCAACACCCTTCCAGCTACCAATGCAAAGCAAAACACTGTGAGGTCTGCTAAGGCAAAATGAACTCTATCTTAGTCAGACATAATACAACCAGCTACTAAGAAGAAAATTAATTCTATCCCAGCTGAAACCAAGACAGTTGCAAAGTCTTTGGCTTGCACAGGTCACTGTGTCCCTCTCTGCTGTTCCAAGACCCTCTTTGGAGATGTTGAAGATGGACGCATTTGGAGAACTTATCAGAATTAGGTATTTTTCAGTCGGATCACTTTTCCCATGTGGGTAGTACAATGGAGAAAGCAGCATTTGTCCTGGTTCAGGGCAAATTTGGGAGAGAAGCCCCAAAGGGGTTCCTCTAGAAAAGCAGATTCAGTTGGCCCCTCCCCGAACCGGTTTGGTAAAAAAAAAATCTCCTTAGAGAAAAGTGGAAAAAACTGTTTATAAAACAATAAAATCACTTGCTGCTCCAAAAGAGATGACAAACTCAGAAAAGTCCTCTCCCTGGGTTGCAGCTTGGCTTACTCAGTTTCTTATTAGTCCCTCCGGTGCTGGAAATGCTGCAGCCCAGGCTCAGCCTGGTGGGCCACAGGTGCGAACTGCTGGTGCTCTTCTGGGTGTTCAGTCCAGAGCAGATTTAAACGGGTCCAAAGAAAAGGGGAAAAAACCCCCACGGTCCAGGGAACTTCTTTGCCTCAGCTAGCTAAAATAATGAAAACAAAGGAGAGCTCTGTCCTGCTGTTTGTCCACCCAAAGACAACAACAGTCCAGGAGGAGGAATGTGGGCGAGTGAGTGCAGTGTCTGAAAACAAACTGTGCGTTTCTTCTCTCCCCCCTTCACTCTCTGCAACAAGTCTTAAAGGTGCAAAACTTATTATTCAGCATAAACAGAACAAGACGATTGGGGATAAAAGCATCATGTAGTCAACCCAGGACAGGATCAGAAATGGTAACCAGGATGGCAAACTGGACTGATTAAACCAAGCAGTTGTACTGCACAGTATGTCATAACAACATTGGATGAGAGATTGAGATGTGCTCAAGGGTCAGAGTATCACATGAGGATATGCTTTCAGAGATCATACTAAAAGTCCAACTCAAAGACTGGAATGAAGAGCTGGGAGTAAGGAAAAAGACAAAAAGTGACCATGTTTGGAAAGGAAAGAATTCAAAAATATCTATCTGTGGGAGCGCACTCCCCTCCAGAGTCTTCAAAGAAAATAAATGCTGACAATTCCAAGTTAACATAGCCAAGCTAAATTGTAGTGCTTTTTATACAAAACTTGACTATCATATAGAGAAACCCTTTGAAGATTGCTAAAAAGGGAGCTATGGACAAGAAACCTACTGATTTGTATTAGAATTCTTTTCCAAGATTAGTTAGATTGTAACCATTTAGCGTTGTAAATCTAGCATTGGTTCATTCCCTTTTTCTAAATACCTGAGATGGTAAACTTTCTTTTTAATCTCAGTTTTCTGTACTTGAATTCCAGTCTGAAAAAATTGAATTACGTTATGATAACCAGACTTATTATTAGGCAAGCAAAATTTGGACGTGGCCTTTAAATAGTGCCATAGATTTTAAAAGAGAAACAAAACCTGTCTGTGCCTACCCACTGTAAAAGTGTTTAACAAAATTCTAGGAAGTTGATTAAACCAATAAATGTCTTATTTTTAAGAAATCATTGTCTTTGAAAGTGTTGGAGTCTTCTTTACAAATATTTAAACTTCCTAAGAGTAAAAAAAAAATAATAGGGACATTAATTTTGCTGCTGTTTCTATAGAATATGTGATGAAGCTAAAGGCTAGAACCTGTTGTGTTTAGACATTTTAAAAATTTAGAAGTCGTCTTTGCCCTGGTTCAGAGAAATTATTATGTTTACATGTCCTTTACATCTCAGAAAATGTGTAAGTCTGTGTATATGTCTATATATAGACATACATATTATGTCTATATATAGACATACATATTCATGTGCATACAAGATATTGTAGAATCATGTTCTCCTTCCACAAGGCTTTGCAACCAATAGATACCAGAAAGTATTTTATCTTTTGTGATGCCATTGTTACATAATTTGTGCATTTATCCAAATTAGAAATGCTTAAATTTGTATTTAAATATTAAAAATAAGTTTTGTTTTGCAGTCATTGAAAGTTATGTGGGCACATGCTAACTTCCTAAGTAGAGAGTTCATAACCATTGAAGGACAGAACTATATAACAGCTGAGTGCTGGTATTTATACTGTTATATAACAAGACCAGAACTAATGAGGAGATAGGAGGAAGAGGCACAGCAAACATACATGTTCTGTATAAATTCACATTGCAGAAACAGGAGGACAATGGAATAATGGCCTATGAAAATTGCACTGGAACAGTATATGTATATACAGTATAAGAAAAAATAACTTGTGGCTGATGTTCCTACTTCTGTGCTGCTCTTTTGGCTGTGAACATGAACCAATTCTCACTCCTAGAGATTGGAAGTCATTATTTTGCCTTCTGCCTTATGCAATGCAGAATATGCAGTTTGGTTACATAGACTTCATGCTCTGAGAATTATAGACTTTGCTTAAATTTAATAGAATTGTTATATATCATTTAGACATATGATTTGTTAGAACATTAGGTTTTGTGATTGAACAGCTTCAACTAGCAAGCATGTATATCTTGCTATCACTAAATGTGGTGGTTTGAAATTGGAATTGGTGCCCCATGTGAGGAAATTGAACCAAACCAGCTACGGTAAAGTAAATCAAATTCCGTTGGGGACAGTGTCAAACTAGTTTAAGATGCAACTTGATTATGCTACATTTTAAAAGAATGTGCTGTTTAAATATAGTAGACCGAAAATGGGCCAGATCTGTTAATTTTTTTTTTTATGAGTATAAAGCAACTAATTATTCTGTTGTTCATTTTGTGGGGTCATCAAGTTCATCTCTCCATTTTTAATACCTTATTGAAGAAAGAAGAAAGCACAAAAAGAACAGCTCTTCTATTATCACCTTCTGGAATTTCCTTCAATTTTCATTTTTTAATGGTCCCCACTGGGAAAAAAATAGTATATGGTAGTATTTGTTATTAAATTTTTTCCCTTCCTCTCTTATACAAAGATAACAGACTGTGTCTTTCTTCTGTTTTCTGCTCCTGAGGTTCCCCTCCTAAGTAAGCTCAAATACTGAATTGACTTTAAGAGAAACTGACTTTTTCTTCTTAATTATCAGGACCACAGCGGGATGCACAAGCAGCACGAGAGTTCATCTTGAAGATGTTTGTAGACCTGAATCCAGATAGTGACAAAATTATCTACTCCCACTTCACTTGTGCTACAGACACAGAGAATATACGCTTTGTCTTTGCTGCTGTCAAGGACACAATTCTACAATTAAACCTGAAGGAATACAACTTGGTCTAACTGTACCTAAAAGGTCCTCCAAAACCACCTTTGTGTGATTGAAGATGCACAATAGGGACGGGATTACCTGTGAAAACAAGTTGCATAATACTAATTTATTGCTGGCCTGCACTCTGTGAATGTTCAGAGTTTTTTAGTTGATATTATGATTTTATTTAAACTATATGGAGGAAAACCAAAATATGCTGAAGTACAGTCACAGTACATTTTCTTATTTTTTAGGCAAAATCTTGTGACTCAGTTGTTTCTAAATTCTCAGTCATACACTCACAAAGGATAACAGGTTTTTGCTATTGCAGCAAAATCAAGCTGGTTTCCTCTTTCCCTGACCCATTGCCTCCCTCCTTCCTTTCCCGCTATGTTTGAAAAGTACAATGGCCATTTTACCACTTGCATTCCTTGATAACATATTTTCTGTTGAGTGACTTGGCGAAGAAAATTACTATCATCAGAAGTGAATTTATCAGTCATTCAAATTTTACAGAATGTGCTTTCTCTGAAGGATCAGAAGTATTGATAGCATGATATTTTTTCATTCTTAAAATTAGTGTTCTCATTCTGTCTTCACTTCTGAGATTAGAATATTGGGAATTTGCAAAATAGAAATAGTTGTGTATAGATTTAGAATTTAAACATACTTTCACAGCTCAGAAAGATGCATAGAAGACAGCAATAAAATAATTAAAGACATAAACCTCAGATGTTCATAGAATATAATCGAATCTCTTTTTAATTGCCATGTGCCATTATTTTCTCTTTTCTTTAATCACTAATGACAAGTAGAAATGTCATGGACACTACATTTTCCTCAGTGACTACAGCCGGAAACAGGGGTAGGGGTTTATTTTTCAGTTGTGTGCATTTTTTCTTAAGTTAGAGCTTTTTTAAAGTGGTTTTTTTGCTATATAAAATCTTGCCAAATATGGCTTATTATGAGACCAATACTTTTGAAACATAAGATAGTGATTGAAATGCCAAACTAATGGATTGGGAATTGACCTGATTGAGTCAACTGCCAAATGATAAACATAGTTTTAACTCATATGTTCCTGTTTTTATTGTGTTCCATTTTCTAATGCCAAAAACAACAGTGTGAGTGCACTTGCTACTAAGTATACGTGTATAGAAGACAGTTTAATTCTCTCCTTATGTCAGAGATGGCATGAGATTGCATACAGTGTTTTTTTAATAATATCAAGCACCTCATTTATTACTGATAAATGATCACATTCAGAAACCTTTCTTGATAAGGTTGCCTCTTAACCTATTCACAGACATTTTATAGGTTTCATGCAAAATAGTCTCTCTTGATGTTCTTTAGAAAGATTTCTTAATGCAAGTTATTCTTGAAATTTAAACATGAAAAATTTTAATAACAAAAATGTAGCACCCATCAATGAGCAGCTTGAGTTGAAAGGTATTTTTTGACCAGGTGCATGATTGCTAGCAAGCTACAGAGAACTCTGAGGTCAGACATTGCCAAGTAGCAATAGGGTGCACTTAGCACAGAAGCTGCTGCCTCTCAACAGCAAAGGAGAGGTGGGAAAACAATCTCTTATTACTTGAGTAATGAAGTTAACAATAAATACTAATGAGATGTTTTTCATCCTTAATACTCCCTACTCTAAAACAACATTAATAAGAATAGTTGCTAGGTTTTGTTCCCTCATAAAACACCTTATAATTGGAAATTGATTGTAGGTATAGTGCAATTATGAATACTATAATCATTGTACATGTATATATGCCAACATCCATATTGGCTTTATATTCATTAATTTTGGGCAAATTGATTGTGCTGTGTTGATATGTATCTATGTAATTGTATAATATGTCTTATAGCTGATTCACATTTTAAATAATGTTATTTTATTTACTTTTTAAAGAGAAGAATGTACATTTTTTTCAGTTTATTCCTGACTAGGTATTTGTTGGTTTTATTTAAAAAGCTTATAATAGTAAAGAACTGTAGTAGCATTGTGCTATATAGAATCATTTGAACATTCCTGAGTAAGAGTAAATTGGAGACACACAGAGGACAGTCAAAAGCAAAACAATGCTTAAATCTTGTCAGGGCTTTATACAGATGTAGAAGCTGTTTTTGTTAGAAGAATTTATGCCATTATATCTAGGATTAGAATATAAGCTCTTAAATATCAATTTGTATTTGGCAGATTCAACTTCAGTTAATTTTACCTTTCTAATAGCCTTTTTTAGAAAAGTGAAATTAGAGACATTTCAAACCATTGAACATAAGTACTAATGGGTATATTCTATTTCCCTAAAAATATAATAAAACCATCAGATCAGTTAAACATTAATTCAGAAATTACAGAAACCGTAGACTTAACAACCACAAAGTTGCTAATGTTAAAAATTTTAAGCAGTTAAAATTTGTTTAATAAAGCTAAAGCACATAGTTGAAGGCTATAAAAAGTGACACTGATATTCTAAATGTATCATCTGAACAGCTGTTCTTATTATATATGTAATTCTAACATTGGCCATGATCTTACTTATAAACATAACAAATCTTCTGTTTTAACTGTTGACTGGAGTGTGTGATACTATCCTTTCTTTCAGCCTGTGAATACATTGGCCACCATGGATTTAGTGATATAAATAGAACTGTAGGGGAGAAAAAAGCAAAAACATGCCAGTGTTGTCTAATGAAGGTTTGGGTTTGTTTTATTATGGGATATCAGGGGATTGTATGGGGTTTTAAGTTTTAATATAAAAAGGATTTGTATAAAACAAACCAAAAATTTACTCACACTTTATAGACATATTGTGATTGCAAAATTCAAATGTGTGTGCCACTGGGCTACTTCTGGTATATTTTAATTGAGTTGAACCTGTGACAATGTTTAGATCATTTAAACATATTCTGAAAAAATATAATCAGCATGTTAACGCAAGCCTTACATAACTCACCTAACACAGCATTGCAGTGTGACAGTGTTTACAAAAGCATTTAATTTTTAAATGACAGATGTTTTCGTGCAATATAGTTCATTGCTGTTGCTGTTTTAATTAGTGATTTCCACTATGCATTATAGTGCTTGAGTCTAGAAGTATGTGCTTCTAACATGAAGCTGAAGGCAAAAATAAGACAGGAACCCTTTTAATTTTGCAAAATTACATTGTTTCATTGAATGTCATAAATGGGAGAGGAGAAAAGGAAAACATTGGGAAACTATTCTAGGTGTAAAAGAAAGCTGTAAATACGTTTTACAAAAACCTTAAACTTGCTTTTTCACTAGTTAGCTGGCACTTTGTTTACATATATAGGATGATGAAGCTATAAGGGCAGTTTACTTTTATAATTCAGACTTCTGATTTTCAAGGTAACCTGTAATTTTAAATCATACTGCCACATGATTTTGAAGCACTTTTTAAACATTGAAAGTGGAGAAGAGGCTTTATGCTGGTTATCAGTCAGAACTGCCTGCATGATTTGCAAAAACTTTAAAGGTGATAAAAGGGCTGCATATGAAGATATTGCTAGACTCTGAGCTTTTGTTCATGAGAGGCAAGACTTTCAGATTGCTCAACTTTATGGTCCTTCCCTTGTTATGCATTTTTCACAAAATATTGAAATAATAGGAGAAAACAGAGACATGTTAACCCATATGGAAAAGAAAAATAATGTCCAAATAATTTATTATATGTGCTGCTAGTATTGAAGGTCTGCATGATTATCCTGCATTACATTAGCAAAATAATGAAGTGTGCACAGTATATTAACAAGGCCTACAAACTACCTACCTGTAGTTAAGAAATCAATAAATTAAATATGTTTTGGAGGGTGTTGCAAGTAAGGAAATTAAATGGCCTGTTGTTTATAATTAATGGTTATTTGAGGCCTTCACACTTTTGCAGATAAAGTCCCTCTTTGGACATAAACAACTAAGATAGTATGTCCCCGTCCAATTTGCTAGTTTAGTAGTGATCATGAAAAACAATGTGTTTTTGTTTGAAGAGAACGACTGATAGTACCTCTTTTTTGTTGCTGTTTTTGCTTTCATTTACCATTTTATTTATCAGTCAAAACAAACATTTCCATGTAATCAGTAATTCATTGAGGGTCATTGTTTATCTAGTTACAGGGTTTTTACTGTAACTTTCTCTCGAGCTTTTTTACAGTAGTTATGTTGCAGGAAAAAAAAAGAATTGAAGAATCATTTGGGCAAAGCTGATGTTGAAGGTAGTGTCAAAAATGCAAGGGAATTCAACCAAATCAATCTTACTCTTGGTAATAAGACTGCTGTTTTTGTGATGTTAGGGGGTTTTCTATCAAAAGATGGTCTAAGATGAAGTATTGCTGGATTTCTTATTTATCATGCTGCATAAAATCCTTTTTTTTTTGCCAATATATTGGAAGGGTAGTCAGATACATTTTTAAAATTTGCAGTGTTTAACAAAATAAAGATAATATTTGTTATTCTGAAGTGTCATTTAAATGCATGTATCGTGTATTGTTTGGGGGACAAAAATAGGGTGTGGTTTTCTGTTTTTCTGTTTAAAAAACTAATGCATAAATGCTGCTCCTTAACAATCGTGTTGGTTAAAAATACAGTACTTTTCACCATAGCTTTGTACTATAGTATCTTCTTCATTCCTTGACATTTAGCTTTTCTCAAATATATTTGGGCTTGTTCTCCCAAAATATTTCTTATGACAAATATATGTCTTGGGAATGGCTTTTATCCCATAACAATTTTTTGGAGGTTTTGTTTTGTCCGGAAATGGTCACTCCCCCCCCTCCGAGCTTCAGGAGTATCGCAAGGAGGGCCAGCACAGGATTCTGAGGGTTGGGGGCAAGGGGTTGTTTCCTTCTGGTGGGGCAATTCATCTCAGCGGCCACACTGCACAGTGCCTCTTACTAGAGATACTGTTGCTTTGTGGTTTTTGCCTGGTATTTTTTCTTCTCCTTTGGCACTGTGACTGGGCTTACTGACTTGCTTCTCTGTTCCTCTGCTTGCTCGGGAGCCCAGAGA